GGGTCAAAATTTGGAATATTTATATCTCTTATATGTTGCGAAATAAGCATCCGATTCTCTTCAAAATTCACAGATCTCAATATTTCAATCAACATATAACCTGGTGTGAAAATGGAATATATCGGTCAACCCCTTCTGCTACCACCCCCACAAAGGGGAGCAATTTTTGAAAAGATATAATTCTCTTACATATTGCGAAATGAGCACTGGATTCTATTCAAATTTCGCACATTCCAATATTTCTGCTAACACAAGACCTGGTATAAAGATGGAATATATGGGTCCACTCCTTCTGGTATTTCCCCCACAAAGGGGTCAAAATTTTGAATTACTATGAAGCTTATACATCGCGAAGTGAACAACCGATTATTTTTAAATTAGGCACTTCCCAATACATGTTTCTACTATCGCAAGACCTAGTGAAAATGTGAAAATGGAATAAATCGGTTCAAACCTTCTGACACCTTCCCCATAAAGGGTCAAAATTTTGAATAATTATATCTCTCATAATTTACAAAATAAGCATCCGATTCTCTTAAAATTTCACACATCTCAATATTTCTACTAACACAAGACCTAATGTGAAGATGTAATATGTCGGTCCCCTCCTTCTGCTACCTCCCCCACAAAGGGTCAAAATTTGGAATATTTATATCTCTTATATATTGCGAAAAAAAAACATTCAATCCTCTTCAAAATTCACAGATTCCAATATATCCATCAACATATAACCTGTTGTAAAGATGGAATATATCGGTCCACTCCTTCTGTTACCTCCCCCCACAAAGGGGTCAACATTTCCGATTATATCCAAACTTGGCACATCCCAATGTATCGGTCCCCTCCTTCTGGTACCTCCCCCACAACGAGTCAAAATGTTGAATAACCCAAACGCTTATAAATGCGAAGTAAGCATCCGATTTCTTCAAATTTCGCGCACCCCAATATTTTTATTAACACATATGGGATATATCGGTTCAGGGTATAGTTTGCCTAGATTCGAACGTCATTTTTATTTGTCAGTTATTCATAAAAATTCATCAAAAAATTGTTATTTCAAACTCCATCATTCCTCCAAAAAGCCTCCTCTTTTAATTACCACAATTCCAATTTCATTATTGATTTTGAACAAATGAATTGGAAAGTTGCTATGGCAATTGTTCTTATTTTTTTTATTGCTACTGTTTTGATGGCGATGATAGACTTTTACAAACCTCTTAAGAAGTTGATGATTGAATCTGTGCATCAAAACATTATTAAATCGGCAAATTGAATGAAAGTAATTATGGTGCAGCTTCTTTTTTTCGCAATTCTGGCACAAATAACCGTCGAGATGAAGATGATGATGGAAGGGGGTATTGTTATTTTCTCTGATGGCCTGTGAAATCTCATGAAAAAAACACAAGATGAAGCTGCAGACCAGTGACTAAATAATTGTTTGCTTCTAAACGAACGAACTGACAAACGACAACAGGAACAATAAAAGACATCAAAACATGAGAAATAACATGCCATCATCGTCATCAACATCACCGTCCAATGTGGACAATTATCGTGGAGAGTTTTGCTGCCAGGACAGACTAGACGCACAATTGGCAACTTACAGAGCCATCATTTATATTCCTTAATGTGTGAACAAAATAAATTCTTTGCTGCTTTGGGATGTGGACTCAACAAAAATACAGAGTGAATTTGCTTTTTTTTTGCCTCATTTGCTTTCATTTTCAAAGCTTCTCCCATTACGTGGCTCCTAATCCGGGTGCAGCAACCGGAGTCTGATTTGTGATGGTCAGGAAAGCAAACAACATTTACAATTTTTCTTTGCGTTTTGTTGAGAAATGACTTTTTGTTTATTGTAGATGAGTTTGCAAAAATGGCAATAATTCTTAGTTATGTGTCATCGCCATCGGAGTGGTGTGTCTGTCTCTCTCTCTCTCTTTATGTGCAACAAAGAAAACTTCTTAAAGCGAAAGCTTGAAATGGCCTTTCTAGAAAAAAAAAGAAAAGTGCATCCGCAAGCCATGTAAAATTTATATTTTGTTGTTGTTGATAAATGGTCCATACATTTTAAAATGGTCATAATTCTTGCCAATATCTCAAATAGAAAGTGGTGGTCATTTTTGTTTCGCTTTTTGCAAGCAATCAAGGGAAGAGTAGATAATCATAAGTTGTCTGGAGTAAATACTTTATAGAACTAGGGAAAAAAGTACACAAATAAAAAAAGAGTAAGGAAAGTTCAAAAGTCGGGCGGGGCTGACTATATGATACCCTACACCGCTATGCGTATTTAGTAAGCTGTCGTACCAAAAAAGCTTATATTGGGAATTTATGTGAAGTATATAATACCAACTATGAGGCAAATAACATTGGTAACATAGTGCATGATATGACTTGGACAAGACATACCAGACCGAGTTTCACCAAATAGTAAAATTCGGTTGGATATGAAAAAAAAAAAAATTCAATTTGGGCTAATCACCATACATGTATGGTGAGCAGTAACCGTAAAATCAGATGAAGATGTATATCGAAGATATAAAGAAATCAAAACCAATCTCGATAAAATATCCGAGCAGTATCTGATGACCGGTATCAAATATCAATGTTGTGGGGTGCCTATTACGCATGTGAGGGACTTTAAGACCAAATCGGATGAGACATATATATGGGAGCAATAACTTATTCTGAACTGATTTTAACCAAAATTTCAAGTCTTTTTGGGCTGATATTGGCAATTTGACCTGGAATCGGATAAACAGCTATATGGGAGCTATATCCAAATCTGAACCGATCTTGATAAAATGTTAAACCCTTATTTCTGAGCTGTATCTGATGCCTGGTACCAAAGATCATTGTTGTGGAGTGCATATTACGCATGTGAGGGACTAAAACCCCCAAATCGGATGAAATATTAATGGGAGCTACAGCTATATCTAAACTGATTTTCACTAAATTTGTAGTTCTTGTTTCTAGGATGAATTCAGTCGAAATTGCGAAAGTTCAGTTCATTTGGGCTGATATTAGCCATTTGGTGCACAATAAACATGATAACGGATAAAGATATATGAGGGAGCTATATCCAAATCCGATCCGATCCGGATAAAATTTGACAAAGGTATTTTTGAGCTCCATAAGTATTCTGGTACCAAAGATCATTGTTGTGGAGTGTATATTACGCATGTAAATATTACTCCAAATCGGATGAAACATACAGGGTGAGATGAAAAAACTGCAACCAACTTCAGACTGCTGTCATTTCTAAACCACTCGTCCGATATCTTTTAAAATTAATGCAGTGACAGCTCATTATATTGTTTACAAGCGTACAAAAGCATTTTGCTGAGAATTTTCCAGAAAAAAGTTATTCGTGATGGAATTCAAGCGTGATAGTGTGATTTCTTCAAATTTGACTGGAAACCACAAGTGGTTATAGTTAGAGCACTCCAGCATTTAAATGTGAATAAATCTTCTGTATCTTGTAACATCACTCGTTACCGTGATACTGGTAGCGTAGCCCGACGTTAAGGAAGTGGACGGGAGAAAACAGCAATGGTTCGAAAAGTAAGGAAGCGACTTGATCGAAACCGGCGTCGCAGTGGCCGAAAAATGGCTTGTGAGCTGAACATATCGCAATATTCCATTCGGCAAAAATTAAAAAATGAGCCATTGAAATTCCAAAAAGTGCAAGAACTTACACCGCAACAGAAAGAAAATTGGCTCAAAAGAGCTAAAGAGTAGCTTCGCTTGGCCGAAAGTGGTGAACCGCCGAATTTGGTTTTCTCCGATGAGAAAACATTCGTTGTACAGCAGTTTGTAAACAAACAAAATGATAGTTTTTACTTGCCAAAGAGGTCAGCTGAAAATGTGCACCTTCGGTTGGCCACTAGAACTCAAGTGCCGGCCATGGTGATGGTGTGGGCCGCCATAACAGCCGATGGTCGCTCTACGCTCGTATTAATCGACCGTGGCATTAGAATAAATGCCGAATATTATCGCGAAAATATTCTTGAGGGTGTATTAAAACCTTAGGCACGCAAACATTTTGGCCGCAGAGCTTGGACATTCCAACAGAAGTCAGCACCATCGTACTCAGCACGCGCCACCCAAGAATGGTTACAAAATGAGATTCCTCGCTTCATTTCCAGCGCCCAATGACCACCAAAATCTCTGGATACCAATCCGTTGGACTATTGTGTCTGGAGTATTGTGGAAAGCAAGGTAAGCACTAAAAAAATACCAAATTGTCGATCACCTCAAGCAAACACATCGCCGGTAGTGGGCCAAAATCCGGCAGAGCAACATTCGGGCAGCGTGTGACGGTTTCATTGGCCGTTTGAAGGCTATAATTCGTGCCAAAGGTGACCAATTTGAACGAATCTAAACTTATTCTAAAATTTCATGCTATTACCGACATTTTTTGCTTTCATTCAATAAAATTAAAAAAAGAAATATAAAAACTATGGCGTTTTTTATCTCACCCTGTATATATGGGATCTATAGCTATATCTGAACCGATTTTCAACGAATAAGATGTACCTGCTTCTAGACTGAATTCGGTTGGATGTGGCAAAATTTTAACTGATATTGGATATTTGGTGCACAATTATCTCGATATCGATTGAAGATATATATGAGAGCTATAACTAAATTTGAACCGATTGTCACCAATTTCAATAGTGTTCGTCCTTTGGCCAAACAAATATAGTTTGGAAAATTTCATCTCAATTGGACTACATGGACAGATGGACGGACTGAAATGCATAATTGACTCAGAAAGTGATTCATAAAAGATTGAAGGATTCATTAAAAAATTCATAAATCATTAAGAAAAAAGCGGGATTTTCCTATTTGTATCAGAGCTTTGAAATCTGCAATGCTTCTCAAAGCTATCTATATTCTTACCTTAATTCTTAAAAATGCTATCTCATTCACAAATACTATTGAGTTGATAATTTTAAAGTTTTCATTTAATTTATTTCATGATCTGTTTTTTTTTTCAGATCGATGATGCCGCCCTACAAGTCTACAAAGATGGTGATTTTGGAGCTTATTTGGATCTGGAGTCATCATTGGCCGAACAGGCTGAAGAAATTGAAGGTCTTAATTCTAGGTAAGTACTTTACAACCAGTTTTATTCACATTCATGTCAATAATATCCAATACATAGTCGAATTAAAATGTCCATATTTTTACTTAATCTATATCTATAAAAGAGCAACATGTTTTTACGTTTGACTGTTTATAATTTATGAACTCGAAGTTCTCTAGAAATACTACAGCATCGCCGAAATAATAAATGCTACACACATTTTTCAAATTCCACGTGGAACCGGAGATATAGCATAAAAAACGGAGGTATCTTCAAAAAATTAAGATTTTGTAAGCACATGTCTATTGATCGGTGACAGATACAGTTTTCATATATGTAATGTGTAACGGAATTTGTTCTAAACATTTATTTTTCAAATTATATCTAAATCGGTTAAGGTTGGATATTGCTCCCATGTATATTTTCGGCCGACTGCACCAAAATTTGGCATAAAAATAAATTTGCCTAATGATATTGAAGTCGGTTCACATTTGAATATAGCTTCCATTTATATTGTTGGTCGAACACGCTATGTATGGCTCAAATTTGGATATAGTTCCTATATAAATTTTTCGGCCAATTTCGTGTATTTGATGCATCAAACACGCTATGTATGTCAAATTTTAATGAAGTTCGGAATGTGTGCAGAATTTGGTCTAAAAATAAATTTATATTAAAACCGATTCGTATATGGATATTATTTTATTAGGAAACATAGATCCACCACGACTTTCCAATGATACTAGGCTAACAGTAAAAAGTAAAAAATCACTAAGTTCGGCCGGGTCAAACTTTGATTACCCTCCCCAATTTGGAACGAATTTGTAAATTTTCAAAAAAAAGAACAGAAATCCTTTGAAAATTCTGTTAAAATCTTAAAAATACCGAATATATAAAGCCGCCGTTCGGGTCGGATCTATATGAAGGCGTGGACATGTATAGATAATTTTGTCATATGCCGTTACAATATTCAAATACGAAACTGGCAACAATTGCCGTGAATAATGTAGCAAAAAAAAAAAAAAAAAACATCAAAATACCGAACACAGGAAGGTACCTATATATGAGAGCTATACGAAAACATGTACCTGCATAGACAATTGTATATCACAGGCTGTAGTACCTATTAGAAACTTCAAATACGAAATTTCAAACAATTTCGGTAAAATTTTTAACTAAAATCGTCAAAAGGCCGAATATAGGCAGGTAAAGATATATGGGGCCTATACGAAGGCCTGAGCCAATTTTCTGTCATAGACTATAGTACCCATTAGGAACTACAAATAGAAGTTTTAAACAATTCCGTTGAATAATGTCGACAAAATCATTAAAATATCGAATATCGGCCGGTACCGTTGTATGGAGGTTATACAATATTGTGGACTTATATAGACAATTTTCTCTCAGGGGGTAATGTACTTCTTGTGTGGATTTTCAGACATATCCATTGAAAAATGTGGCTAAAATTAATCAAAATACCTAATATAGGGAGGTACCGTAAATGGGGGATATACGATTTCGCAGACCTTTACAGACAATGCTCTTCCAGAAGGTAAAATATTTAGAAAGAACTTCTTGTGTGGAATTTCAGACAATACCATTGAAAAATGAGGCAACAATTATCAAAATACCGAATATCGGGCGGTACCTTTGTATGGGGCTATACGATATTGTGGACTTATATAGGAAATTCTCTCCCAGGGGTAAAGTACGTTGAAAGAATTTTCAGGCAATTTCATTGGAAAATGTGGCTAAATTATCAAAATACCGAATATCGGGAGGTATCGTTTTGTGGGGGCCACTCGATACATCGTACCCATATACCCATCTTTGAAATTGACCTACCTGTAGTCAAAAGACTGATCTGTGCAAAATTTTAGCTTCCTATCTTAATCCGTTTTGACTCTAGCGTGATTACAACAGACGGGCAGACGGACGCACAAGAATATACGGGGTGAGATGAAAAACTGCAACCAACTGCAACCATTTCTAAGGCACTAGTCCGACAGCTGTTAAAATTATTCCAGTGACAGCTCATTATATTTTTTACAAGCGTACAAAAACATTTTGTTACCGTAATACTGTTTACGTAGCCCGACGGACGGAAGAAAACAGCAACATCAGCAGAAGTGGTTCGACAAGTAAAGAAGCGACTTGATCGAAACCCGTATTGCAGTGGCCGAAAAATGGCTCGTGAGCTAAACATTTCACAATATTCCATTCGCAAATATTGAAAAATGACTTCGGGTTAAAGCCATAGAAATTCCAAAATGTGCAAGAACTTACACCGCCACAGAAAGAAAGTAGATTCAGCTAAAGAGTTGCTTCGCTTGGCCGAAAGTGGTGAACTTCCGAATTTGGTCTTCTCCGGTGAGAAAACATTCATTGTCCAGCAGTTTGTAAACAAACCAAACGGTCGTGTTTACTTGCCAAAGAGGTCAGCTGAAAATGTGCACCTTCGGTTGGCCACCAGAACTCAAGCGCCGGCCATGCTACCTTTATTAGCTGTAGCCAAAGATCCTCTGGACGGAGTTGGGTAGGCTTGGCTGCACAATTAAACAGGTGTAGCGTATTGTGAATGGTTTAGCGTATGAATGGAGACGGCTGCACCATCCTGAACGTAGTTGGACCAAAACGACCCTGGTTTGCCTAGGCAGCCGACTTTCCTCAACTGCAATGGATGGAGGTGGCCGGCCATGGTGATGTTGTGGGCCGTCATAACAGCCGATGGTCGCTCTCCGCTCGTATTAATCAACCGTGGCATCAGAATAAATGTCAACCATTATCGCGAAAATATTCTGGAGGGTGTTGGGTACGCAAACATTTTGGCCGCAGACCTTGGACATTCCAACAGGATTCAGAACCATTGCCCTCAACACGCGCCAACCAAGAATGGTTACAAAAATAGAGGTTTCTCGCTTCATTTCCAGCTCACAATGCCCACCAAAATCTTCGGATACCAATCCGTTGGACTATTGTGTCTGCAGTATTTTGGAAAGCAAGGTTGGCACTAAAAAATACCAAAGTGTCGATCACCTCAAGCAAGCGCTTCGCCGGGAATGGGTCAAAATCCTGCAGAGCAACATTCGGTTTCTTTGGCCGTTTGAAAGTCATAATTGGTGCCAAAGGTAACCAATTCGAATAAATCTAAACTTATTCTAAAATTTTTATGATTTTAGCCACATTTCCGACATTTTTTGCTTTTATTCATTAACATTTAAAAAAAAAATCTACAAATTATGGCATTTGACTTTGTTGCAGGTTTTTTATCTCTCCCTGTTTATATACTTTGTTAGGTCTAAAATTATTAGTAAAGTTTTATGAATACTAAGTGTGGTGGAGATTATAAAAAACTAAACAAAGTGCAGGTTGCATTTTTTTGTCCTATTGAAATGAAATTTTCCAAAAATCATTTGTTTGACCCTTGGGCGAACCAATTTAAAATTTGTGAGAATCGGTTCAAATTTATATGTAGCTCGCATATAAATATATATATATCTTCGTCCGTTTCCAATTTTATTTTGTGCCATCTGTCACACATCCGACAGAATCCATCCTACAAGCAAGTACTTCAAATTTGGAGAAAGTCGGTTTTGATATAGCTATAGCTGTCATATATATGATTCATCCGATTTGGTATTTAAGTCCCTCACGTTTGCAATATGCACTCTAAACCACTGATATTTGGTAACACATATCTCATACAGCTCAGAAATGCCTCTGCCAAATGTTTATCGAGATTGGTTCAGATTTGGATGTAGCTCCATATGCATCCGATTTCACGGTTATTGTACACCAAATATGTAATATTAGCCCTAAATAAGCCCCTCGAAGGCAAAAAATACATTTATCTGTCTTTCCAAAGAGTTTTGGCAGTTTCGAACTACATTGCCAAACCTAAAAATGCAATCTTCCTTCAATTAACTTAAATAGCACCACTTTTAATATTCTTGACAGACAATGCCAGCATGATAGTCCAGCTCTGATCTTAAATTCCATTTTCAAACATTTAACTTGTATATTTAGACCATATCGAACATTCAGATTGTATCGATGCTGTTGTGCCATGAAGTTTGTAGGTTGACAATTTTGATGTAGGCATTATTGGTGGCACAACCACAACTCCAATAAGATATATGGACAAAATTTCACTGGGTTTCTGGGCCAGCGAAAGAGAATAACAAACCTACAAAAAAAACACAAACGTTTCACAAAACTTGAAACCCACCAAAAAAAAAAAAAAAAAATAAAAACAAAAATGAAAATGTTGTTTTGGCCAAAAAGATATGCTGCCTTGCCATGCCATGCCATTCACTGGCCATGCTTCCTGTTTCACGGATGCCCGTTCCAAAAACAATCACATCAACCTGGATGGATGCAGTTAGGCATGCGCAGATAATGCCGGTGGTTGCTGGCGGTGGACATCTGTTAGCGCGCCAACTTTATTTTGTTTTTCCTGTTGTTTTTGGCGGCCTTCGTTTATGTGGGAGTTATTTTTAGTTTCATCCAGACCAGAGGACCAGTGGCCGTTCGGATCGTGGTATCATTTGTCCGCTCGGTCAGACGTCTGCCGTAAAGAAAAGTAACAAGTTGCAAAATGCCTTTCACTTGATAATTTATTAACGATTATTGTCGGTTGGCTAATTTGTTAAATGTGCAAGTGAGTGAGTTGCTTTCGAAGATGTATGTGTGCATGTTTGCATGGCATGAGAGTTTCGCTTACAACATGAAATTGAAGCTGCAGCAAAGGCCCACACTACGGTATGAAAAGAAAATTTACGATTTGCGAGATGCAAGCCAATGGCGGCTTTCATTATATCTTCTAGTAGGCTCATCTCACTCGGTCAAAAACAAAAAGAGAATGCTTTTATATTTGCAATGTTTAAAAGGTTTCGATTCGATTTCAATGGTATTTAATGACCGTTTGGCAATGAAATATTTTCATATCAATTTTTATGCTCCAAGCAGTGGTCCCTGGAAGCTCCAACGACAAATGTAAAGCATCATCTCTAGGCAAAAAG